ATATATATATATATATATATATAATCACACCTGTTTTATGGATTAATTAGTTGCTATATTTGACGTTTATCTTCATCAGAGGAGATCTAATGCATCTCTTGATCAAGTTAGTATAGGCGCAATTGCCATGTTATACGTACCGTTTCGTCAGGTAGGACTTCGGCTTAAACAACCAATTACCCCCAAATTTAGCCTGAACCTGATTCCTGATTATGTGTAAACGCAAATAATCCAAACATCACCAGTCGCACACGAGTGCACGCCTCCACGAGTCATACCAGAGTGCGTATATGAGCGATATAATCATACAGTCATGGCAAATGTTTCTATACTCCCACCTCTTCTGGTCTCAAAGTTCATTCGTCCAGGCCTTCTTCACTCTCGCACGCTCCAGTCTGCGCTCAGAAGCCATCTGCCTCAGTTTGAGAAACTGACATTCTCGCCCATTCTCTCCCTCGTGCATACCCATGCATACCCACACCACGAATGTCAGGGATACAGCAAACACACACACACACACACAAGCAAGAAGGCACATGTACACATTTAGTCGCCTAATGCACATATTCACACATTCATATTGACGCCATGGCAGCGAACCCATATTTGCTTGGTTGTGTCGCTAGGGTAGCACGTGAGTGTTTTGGACTTTAGTTAACCCAAAATCCTGACTCAAATGGCAGCAATTTTTCACCGATAAAGCTCGCTGATACCAAAATTCCGGTCTCCGATCGCACCTTTATTCGTTTGTGCCATATTTCTCACACGTGCCTCTCTCAATGTCGGTTCTGTGTGTCTCAATTTCGGTCTATTTGTGTCTGAGTGTGTGAAAGTTGCCTACGTCTTTGGGTGTGGCAGAGCATGCCCAATCGTGGCGGCTGCGTGCGAGTCAACATTGTCCGTCAATCGACGATGACTCGAGGCTGCAAGCGTCGATTCAGCAAACGGTGGAACCGGATGATGAGTTGAAGAGACGAAGTTCCGCAGTGGCTTGGACGGTGGCAGTCTCGCGGAATGGCGCGGACTCGTTTTCGAGATGGGTGGTACGAGATGACAAACGCGGTGGTTATGCAGAGTTCGAGCAGATGGGATAGATGAGACTGTCATTGGGAGTTTATTGGGTATCTGATGCTTGAAGTAGGATTGAAGGTCTGTAGGTCAACTGTTCCGTCTGTCCGTCAGTCGGTAGGTTGGTCGAACCTTTGGCCAGTCGGTCAGTCTGTAGTTGTGCTGTCGGCTCACGTATGCTTGGAAGAGGCGAATGGAAGGGATTCGTCGGTTGACCGCACCGGAAGCTGTAGAGGGACTTGGAGCTGTGATTGTAAATTTGTTCGAAGAGGTGCCCCGGCGCGTCGAAATGACAAGTGGAAAACCAGTTTATCAACAGAGTCTGTCAGTCTGGCAGTCTGTCCGTTTGTCTGTAGGCTAGTATCTTGGCCACTAAGTCGTTCATACATTTGGTAGATCAGTTGGTGTGTAGGATTGTCGGCAAGTCGGTCAGTCTGACATTGGGTGATCCTGCCGGACGATTGGAATGTCAGTCTGTCTATTTGTTGGTCTGTCAGTCAGGGGATCAGTCTGTCGATACCTTTGTCTGTCTGTCAGTCTGTTAGTCTATCGGTCAGTCGGTCAGACTGTCTATACGTCGTTAGGACGGTTTGTCTTCAATTTGGTAGATCGGTCAATCCGTAATTCTTTAATTCCGTCAGTCTTTTGATGTGTCAGTCTGTCAATTTGTCGGTCTTTCAATCTGTAGGTCAGTCTGTCGATACTTTAGTCGGTCCGTCAGTCTG